TATTCTAAATAGGATCACAGCTAAACATTATATTTGGTTGACCTTAATTAATAAAGGATTTTAAGTTTGGAGGACATGAACACAATTATGTTTGAGAAATGGGCCGATTCGTCATACTTTATAAATAAAATGCACATTTATATTATTAAATGTTATTCTTTATTTTTATTATTTTTTAAAAAAGTGTACATCTATATATATAATTACAAACTAATTCATTTAATAAAACATTTAATAAAACTTATTTTCATTTTTCTTTAAAGGAGCATTTTTTTAATTAATTACTCACTAATATGCTAAAATCGTTACACCTTAATATATATATTTTTATTATTTATTTTTTGGATCAGTTACTAAATTAATTCTAAATTTGGTAGCAAAATATTCAAATGTGTAACGGCTAATGTTGGAACTTAAAGTTGATTGACACATTCAGAGCTGTATCCGCTATATTTGGTTGCATTGTTGGAAGAAAAATATGATTGGCACATATTTTTTTTTCCTAATAATAAGAAACACCAATAATTTTTTTTTATTATTTATGTTAATTTTCGTAATATGCCACAAATATATAAATTATTTTATTCATGTTATTAATGTAAACGTTGCATGGTTAAAATAAAATTTAAATCTCAATTAATTTTGAATGATAAAAATAACTTAAGAAAAAGTAATAATTTTTAGATGATAGAAATACATGTTTAATTAATAAATACAAACAAAAACGTATTTTATATCTGTACAAATACACAAGATCAAATATTAGTTTTTGAATGAAAGTATGTATACATGAATATATTTACATATATATACATGGAAGACTTATGATTAATGAAAAATCTATTTCTAATTTCCACCAACCTTTGCCTATAGTACCATATAAATTGTGATCAAATCTTCTATAAATTGTGATTAGATCTTCCATGGTCCATGAACAATTTGATTTGATAGTTGAATACTAAAAACTACATTATATTCAATTTGTATGTAGAAGTTGCTGACATTTTATATACATGTCTGACTATTAATTTAGTATGCTACTTTAATAGTTGATAGTATTAGACCATCATGTGATTTATATCAGTCAACAAAAACTTACAATAGTTGTATGTCCCATTTAATTAGAAAACAAA